TAATCACTTCTTGGCCTTTTGGCTAAGATCAAGTGTAGAAACAAGGATGGTAAGGCTTTATCTCACATACTTTGGACATGTGATAAGGAGAGACCAATCCCTGGAAAAGGACATCATGCTTGGTAACGTGGCGAGCCAGAAGATCTTCAACAAGATGGATTGACCCAGTGGCTGGGTTCAAACATAACCATGGAAAGGCGGTGAAAGACTGGGCAGGGTTTCATTCTGTTTCATCTAAGGGCACTATGAGTCAGCATTACTGATGGCCCCTAACAACAATGGTCTAATGAACAACCAACACCACACCTCCATCAGCGCCATCCCCTTTATGACCTTTGGCTCCTGACTAAGTATTGGTAGACACAAGAAGACCTGTTTTGACTTTGACATTTGGGCTCTTGGCTCCTAGCTGTTCTCAACCTATGGGTCGAGACCCCTTTGGGGGTTGAATAAACCTTTCACAGGGGTCGCCCGATTCATAACAGTAGCAAAATTACAGTTATGAAGTAGCAACGAAAATAATTTTATGAAAAAGAGAAAATAATTTTATGGTAGGGGTCACCACCACATGAAGAGCTGTGCTAAAGGGCGGCGGCACTAGGAGGGTCGAGAACCAGTGCAGTCTAGACCCTGCATTGGCTTGCCTCTGCCGTAGCTCTTGGGGCTTGAGTTCCAATCTATAACCTGCTCGGGTTTCACCAGCCGCCACTGCCGGTGGGTGAGGAATATCCTCCAATGTCTGAACTTCATATTTGGGCTGTAACAACACTCATAAATATGCGAGTCGTTTCTTTAAAGCTCTTCAATTCTGTGAGCTCTTGCAGAACTCAAGGATGTGAAGGGATACAAGGAGGAGGAAGAGTGGTGGTGAACATCAGGGAAAATGGAGTGTAGTATAATAATGGCTTGGAAAAGTTGGAATTTAGGACATCTTTCTTATTCACCTTCTTGGGCCTACTCTGGTATTGATTCTTCTAAAAGAAATTCTTGTAAAAGAAATTATTACCCCTTCTACAGAAGGTGACTTAAGCCTGTGATAGCAGACACTACAAATTCCACAGGCAGGATATCACCTTATGAGAAAGATAGCCCTTCCCACACCTATAACCCTTTCGTTCTATTCGAGTATTTGCTTTTTTGATAATCTCCAATGGTGGTGTAGGGTCTAACCCCAGGGGCTTTGGGCATTGCTCCCATGGACACTGGTCTCCTCCTCCCCCAGCCCTTCCTGCTTGACTTTTCAGTGACCTGGTTTTAGGATAGAAGAAGGGAATTTAGACTTTGAACACACTTTGCTTATTTTTTGTATTAAAGGTGTCACTTCAGTTATGAAACAAACCAACCCAAAACACCACCTCTATGGCATACACACCCAGAGTTGCCATGAGTTACAATCAACTCTCCGGCAGCTGGTTTCTAAAGATGACTACTCATATTAAAATAACACATTTTTACATTAAATTACTCTGGGTACTGGGAACTATCAATGATTTGTTATTTCTACCTTTTGAGCGGGGGCAGGTCTATATTTATAAGAATTACCTTTCAATCGCGAATAAAACTATCTTAAAAGGGAAAACAAAGCACATGCATAGTTCTTTGTATGAAAGCCAGAAGGGAATCTTGGCACGTACCTGTTAACACAACTTTTCCAGATACAAAGATAAGCAACACAATCCGTGGCTTTACCATTCTATAAATAAGGCCAGGAAATAGTTCGGGTTCATAACTGTTAAGATATAAAAGGAAAGTTTAAAAATAGCACCCTTCAATTACTTTCCCATCACAGTTAAGACAGTCTATTAAAGCTTCTGTAAATCAATGAGCTATTTCACTAGAAGCCTTTTGGCCATCTCATTAAAAGCAGAGCCTGGAGTATCTCTGGATAATTTCTTAAGGGAGTCAAGAACAGAATTCATTTTTGCTCTTTTTTTTCAAGTGCAAATCTTCTTAAGCTATTGATGCAATTGATGCATGGATTGTTATAA